AAGATATGACAAAATAATAATTTATAAATTATCAAGTGTTCATGAAGGAGGGGGAGCAGGGAGGGAGGGGGAAAATGAGGACCTGATACCAAAGGCTCAAGTAGAAAGCAAATATTTTTAGGATGATGGCAACAAATGGACAAATATGCTTGACACAATGGACATATGTATGGATTGTGATAAGCGTTGTTCAAGCCCCCAGTAAAATTATTAAAAAACAACAACAGGGGTTGCAATCCTAATCTCAAACAAAATTGATCTCAAGATGCGAGCCATAACAAGGGATAAGAAGGGGCAATAGATAATGCTCACGGGCCTATATCAAGAACCAGTGAGCATAATAAATATATACACATCCAATGAGACCAGCAAAATCCACCAATCAAATGCTCCAAAACATGAAAAAAGAAATCACAGGCTCAACAATCATGGTAGGTGACTTTAATATACCACTCTGAGATAGACAGATCACAGGGAAAGAAGCTTAACAAGGTTGCTACAGGTTTAAACATTACAACTCGATGACTTGACCTGATATTTTCAGAGCTCTTAGCCCAAATGGAAAAAAATTCACATTCTTCTCAAGCCCACATGGCATGTACTCGAAGATAGACCATATGCTGGGACACAAATCAAATCTATGTAAATTGAAGAATAGAGGGCATACAGACTACTATCCCATAAGGCTGGAAATTAAAAATAGGACAATTAAGAAAACTAGGGCAAACAATTGGACGATGAACAATTCTCTATTGCACTAGGGGTAGGTACTGGCCCAGAGATGAAATTAGGAAGTTGCTAGAAACCAACAAGAATGAGAATACAACATACCAAACCTTTGGGACACAGCAAAGGCAGTTATCAGTGGAAGTTCAATAGCAATATATGCACACATGAAACAGGAAGAGAGACTTATGATATGCTGACACAAAACTTACAGCAATTAGAGCACAGTAAACAGGACAATCCTAATAATCCTACTAATAAGCAAAGAAATAATAAAAATTATGAGGGAAAATGAAAACTATGAAACAAATAAATACAGCTACAAGTTGGTTCTTTGAAAGGATTAACAGAATCAACAGACCGCTGGCAAACCTAACCAAAGAAAGGAAGGAGCAAATTTCAATAGAAAGGATGAGGTGATGAAACAGGAGACATTACAACGGACCCTAATGAAATCAAAAGGATAATTACACAGTATTCCAAAGGCCTGTGCTCCATTGATTTCAACAATTTGGAAGACATGGACAAATACGTAGAAAAACAATCCCTCCCTAGACTATCCCAGATGGGCGTCAAGAGTCTTCAGAGTAATAGAAGAAGAAATAGACAAGATTACCAACAAAAAATCTCCCAGGCCAGATGACTTCACAGGAAAATTCTACCAAGCATTCAGGGAAGAACTGATACCAATCCTACAGAAACTCTTCCAGAATACAGAAAAAGATGGCAAACTGCTGAACTCTTTCTATGAACGTAGTATAACTCTGATACCTAGAGTGGGCAAGGATCCCAAAAGATTCAAGAATTACAGAACAGTATCCCTAATGAACATCAATGTAAAAAATCCTGGCTAATAAATACAAAAGTATATGAAACAAACAATTCACACCATTACCAAGTGGGATTCATACCAGGGATGTAGGGATGGTTCAACATATAAAAGACCATTACTATTATTCACACATTGACATGGAAAAAAAAAAAAAGAAAAATTATAAGAACCACATAATATTGATAGATGTGGAAAAAGTATTCTTTAACAACCAACACCCATCCATTCCTCAATATAATACCAGCTATATATGAAAAACCAACATCAAAAGTGGCAGTCAATGGAGAAAAGATGAAAACAATGCATCATGTCTCTACGTACTGGAGGTCCTAGCTAACAACACAAGGCAAAGGAAAGACATCAAAGTTATTCTGCTGGTGAAGGAAATTATTATTTGCAGATGACATTATTTATGGAAGATCCCAAAAGCTCCACAAGAGGCGGGCTGGAAGCAATAGAGAAATATGGCAAAATGCAGGATACAAGATCAACAAACAAGTCTATTAGACTGCTATACATATCGGACAAGACCACGGAAGACGGGATCAAATAATTAGTACCTTTCACAATAGCCAAGCACAAATTGAAATACCTAGGGATCGTTTCTCGGCCTTTTGGCTAAGATCAAGTGTGAAATATCTAGGATATACCTGACTAAAAAAACCAAAAAAATTGTACGAGGAAAACTACAGAACACTATTACAAGAAACCAAGAGTGACCTCAACAAATGGAAGCATATCCTATACTCATGGATCAGAAACCTCAATATAGTAAAGATGTCAGTTCTGCTCAAGGCACTATATAATTTCTATGCTATCTCGATAAAAATATCATCTTTCTTTAAAGAATTGGATAAACTGATTACCAACTTCATATGGAGAGGGAAGATGCCCATAATTAGAAGAGAACACCCAAAGGATGACAGAATGGGAGGGCTTGCTTTACCTGACTTTAGCACCTATGATACAGTCACAGTGGTCAAAACAACAAGGTATTGATACAATGACAGACAGACCAATGGAAAAGAACTGAACCCACAATAAAATAATCAGCATACAAATAAATGATCTTCGATAAGGGCCCAAAAAATATCAAATAGGAAGCCGATGCCCTCTTCAACAAGTGGTGCTGGAAAAAATGTTATCTACCTACAGAAAAATGAAACAAGATCCTTACCTCACTCCATGAACAATAAACTGAAGGTTTTACCTCACAGACCTTGAGGTAAAACCACAAACAGCTAGGACAATCAATGAGGGAATTGGGGCAAACCTGAGAACTTTGTGCAAGGAATACATAAAGATTATTGAAAATAGGGACACAGAGTAGACACAAAGAGAGGCAAGTCAGTCAGGGTACAGTACAGCACTGACAAAATATACAACTTTCCTAATGTCCCCCCCCCATCATGACCCTAATTCTACTTTACGAATCCAGCTAGACAAGAGCATGTACACTGGTACAGATAAGAGCTCGCAACACAGGGAGTCTATGACAGATAAACCCCTCAGGACCAATAATGAGAGTAGACACTAGGAGGGTAAGGGGAAGGTGGGGGAACGATCACAATGATCTATCTATAATCCCCTCCCAGGGGAACAGACAACAGAAAAGAGGGTGAAGGGAGACATTGGTCAGTGTTAAGACATAAAAAAAATTAATTTATAAATTATCAAGGGTTCATGAAGGAGGGAGGGTAAAAACAAGAGTTGATACTAAAGGCTCAAGTAGAAAACGTTTTGAAAATGACCGCAATATATATGTACAAATGTTTGACAAATGGGTGTATGTATGGATTGTGATAAGAGCTAGACAAGCCCCCAATAAAATGATTAAAAGTAAAAGAAAAACCTTTATTGGATCCAGTTGAACATCACTTGTTTCACTGATCCAAGGACTTACTTACCAGATTGATTGATGCAAATTGCTATGAAAAGGCGTAAGACTAGAGGTTTATAGAAGGTAAAAGACACCAGGTTACTCAACGCAATGATCAAAACAATGATTCTGAAAAAAAGGGACATTGGATAGACAAATGCAATGACTTAAGGGTAGAGATGTTCTTTTGGCAGTCTATGGTAATTTGACTAGTCTTCACAGGCACAATAAATCAAATGCATCCTTTCTTCATTCAGCGTCCTGACTTAATATGCAACTTGCACATGCGTATGATGGCGATTGGAAATGCAATTTTGGAGTCAGATTCAACATAGCCCTCAATGTGACACCCTTGATTTCCAACACCTTATAGAGGTTGGCCAAATGCAGTAGTTGGATTTCCTGACTGCTGCATCCATCTGAATAGATGTGGTTCCAAGCAAGAGGAAATCCCTTGATAGCATGTGACTTATTGGTCCAGGAACCCTGTTTCCGCTACATTGAGTTGTCATCCATACCAAAGGCTGCAACTGCTCTTCATCAGCAAGTACTCCAATCCTGCACACTTTCAGCAGGCAGAGCTGCGATCACGGCTTTTTACTAAGTCTTTCTCCAATTCTTAAAAATAAAAATCTTTTATTCATTTTATTGGCAGCGGGTGTCTTACAAATCTTAAGAATTCATCATTCAATTGTATTAAAGCACACTTGTACATATGTTGCCATCAACATTTCCAAAACACTTTCCACTTGAGCCCTCCTTTTTCCAACTCTGATGCCATTTTTCCTATCTATAATCCAGATTCTCAGCTTTTTCCTCCAATATACAGATTAAATACAGTGAGAAGAAACAATCCAGGTGGCACACCTTATCTGATTCCCCTGTTCAGTTCCTACAATTGCCTCTTGACCTATGTTCACATTCCCCATTTTCACAAATGTGTTCTAGTATTGCTTTTCTTCTCAAGGCCATCCATAATTTGGTATGGTTCACAGTCAAATGACTTTGCATAGTAAATAAATCACAAGGAGACATCTGACACAGCTCATAGGACATCAACATTTCATATTTTAAGTTCTCTTCTGGACGCGGCCTGAAGGTCTAGCAAAACTTTATTGTTCTCTGGCTATGCTATTTGCAGAAGGGTTGTTAGCAAAATGTTACTTGCATGTACTATCAGTGGTACTGCTCCACTCTTTATGCATTCTTCCCATAAGTATGGATCTCTTCCAGTCACTTGACCAGTCTCCAAATTTCTTTGGGTACCCAAGAGTACGTCCAGAGCTACATCAGCTTGTTTTAACTTTAAATGGCATTACAGAAATCCCTGGAGCCTTTGTTTCATGTTTTCAGCACACCGTGGACTTCTACCTTCAATATCATTGGTTCTTGGTCATGTGCTACCTCTTGCAATGTTTGGATGTCAATTACTTTTGTTTACACTGTTTTTAAAAAAATTCTCTTTTGATGCTTCCTACATGGTTCAATATTTTGTCCATAGAATCTTTCAATATTGCAATGCAAGGTTTTTGAAATATTTGTTTCAATTTGAGATATGCTGAGCATGTTCTTCCTTTTAATTTTCTAACTCTAGGCCATTCAAAATTTCATTGTAATATTTTCCTTTGTCTTTTCCAGTTGTCCATAGAAATTTTCTATTTGTGGGGGACCAGCCTCCACAGCTTAATGGATCCTAAGGGGTGGTTGTGTAATTGAAGTGTAAATTAAATCAACAGCAGAAAAGACATGCAAGGACTTACCTCTTTCTTGGGTGCTGGAACCAGAGGGGGTTGTGTGTGAGTGTATTCTCCAACAGGCTTATATAATCACTGGGCATGCAAGCTAAGCAATACATGTAGGTTAACAGGAGGGCATGTACTCAGGTCATATACCTAATAAAAAAGGGAGGTACTAGGGCATACATGTAACAGGAAGGCATAACTAAAAGGATGGTCAGGTCCTAGAGTTAAGATGGCGGCTTATTAACCTTGGTCATCCCTGAGCTGACTTGAGTTTAGGGGTCCCTGAGCTCTTCTTCAGGTGAACAATCTGTGCTCCTTATCATAAGGGAGTCGGCTAAACAAAGGGTCAGGCGGACAATACTATCTGATTGCTCTCAATGGCAGAAAACCGTCAGGCAGATCACTTTCAAGTAGATAACCTTTAAGTGTATAGTAAGCAACCATAAGCTTGTAATAAACATTTTAAGATTGGCAGTATTAAGGGGGGACATTGTGGGAAATAACTTTAGTTAGAATAACTGGGATTAATTTCCAACTCACAAGTGCAAAGATCTTCCTCCACCAGAGCCTCAAGTGTTTACCCATAATTAAGTGGGAGCCAAGAACCCATCTGCTTGTCCGCGGGATATGCATGCCTCAGCTTTACTGTGGCATTTGTACTGACAAATTCAACCCCCCCTATGACCAACTACTCCAACAACAGCAACCAACCAACTAGCAGACAACAAAAACAAGCAAAATATAGGCAGGAAAAAAAACCCTATAGACATACGAAAGTAAATCCTTATCAACCCTCTGTATATAAGGTAATTTGCATTATAACACCCATCTTTCCAATGACACCTCACTCTGGACTCTGTACGTATGAGTCTATGCAAATACAGTTCCACGGTGCAACCCGAGTTGTTGCTCCACACAGTTCAATCTCCCATTCGATTGTGCTGTTTTACCCTAGGCATGGGGGTAGGTGCCAGTGGGAAATTTCCTGGATTAGTTCTTCCAAGTTCAAATCTCTACCCAATAGCTCAAAACCAGCCATGTTCCTGCAAGGGGGAGAAAGGATGTCCTAAATATATGGTGATTCTGGGTCCTTTTCCATTGGACAACCACCCAAACCAGGGGTTCCCTTGAGGTCCGATGACTGCCACTTCCACTGGTCTGCGGTAGTCACTTTTCTTCTTCTCTCATTCGAATGCCCAGTCCTCAGTCCCAGGCAGTGTTGAGGGAGGGCACTGTTCATTCTGCAAATTCCTCTATGTCAAATCCTTCTGGTGTAGCCCTTGAGTTGTGCCATGTTGCCCTCAAGGTCAGGATCCAAGGGCGTTATTGTGCTTAGTCCATGGTGTATTTCACTGAGGATTAGTTAGAAACATATTCATAGTGTCTATCCAGGAACATAAACTCTGGACGATTACCTCCCTACAATCCTTATTTAACATCCCTTCCTGATGTACAGCTACTCTTTCCCCAATAACCCAATGTACTCACCAACAGAATGATCAATGTCTACTACAAGATGTAGATGCATCTCTCCCCTGGTCCTGGTTTGATTTTCTGGCAAGGTTCTCCTTCCATTCTTGGGTCCACTGTTTTGCCCCAGCCTTGTCTTGATGTTGTATAGATTCTCAACCTTCCTAATGCCATGGCCCTTTAATACAGTTCCTTATATTGTGGTGACCCCCCCAACCATAAAATTATTTTTGTTGCTACTTCCATAAGATTGGTGGTCTCTTTTTAAGGAGTGACCCCAGACAATGTGAGGTCTCCCCCTTCAGTATGTGTGAGCCATTTCTTGTCATAACTTCTCTCTACATACATCTATACAGGTCTCAGAGCTTTCTTCTCTACAGGGTTCCGACTGACACAGCATGTACACAAAAGGAATAAGTCATCAAAACACAAAAGCAGCAGTAATAGAAGAGGAAAAAGACTGAGCCACTTTTTTTGACATAAATAAGCCACTCCTTATCAATAATTGCAATGAACATAAATGAACTAAATGTCCCAAAGGAAATAGTATTAGAATGGGCTCAAAAGAATTATCTGACTATATGCAATTTCCCTGAGGCATTCCGTAGACCCAAGCCAACAAATAGGTGGACTGACATGGGATGGATAAAATACTATCAACCAAGACAGCAGAGGTACAAATCTCAGTATCAGACAAAGTAGGTGTAAATATAAAACCTGCTAGGAGATAAACACACATATCACATAGTTATAAAAGGGCCAATTTACAAACAAAACATAATCATAAATACATATGCCTCAACAACAGCACAAACTTAGAAAGGAATACTGATCAAATGAAAGAAAATGAGTACGCAATAATAATTGAAGTTACCAATACACCTTTCAGCATTAGAACACCTAGAGAGGTCAACAAGAACACGGAACCAAAATCTAGCTCATATCACCAGTAATGTTTACCCTGTTCTACATTCTGCAGAATCCAGCTTGGTTTTCTGAAAGTTGCTTGTTAATGTATTATGAGCAAGATGGCATTCATTGAAATCTCCATCAACCATATTAAAGCATTATTGACTTTGCAGTTTTTCCTTTTATCACTGTATGCTTCAACAGTTCCCTAAGGGTTCAAAGTGCAAAATACTAATTCCTACATGAATCCTACTTGGAGTTGCATTGACCCCTCTACCTTTCATGTTTTATGTAGGAATGGTAAGAAATCATATGAAAAGGAGATCTTCAGGGAATGGATTATATAACTCGTTATGTAATTTTATGGGCTTTTGTGTGGCCTATTTTATTTAAAGGACTATGGGACAGAATATCCATCACAGGTTTCCCGGAATATATCTTCTAAGTACAGCCACAATCCTCAATGGGGGCAAAGATGCCAGGTTTCACCTCATGCACTTTGGACATGTTATCAGGAAACACCAGTCTGTGAAGGATATCATGTGTGGTATGAAACAGGGACACCTAAATAAAGCTGAACCAATGACACACAGTGGCGGCAACCTTGGCTTCAAACACAGAACAACTGTGAGGATTTGGGGAGTCTGGGTGGTGTTTCTTTCTGTTGCCCATCAAGTTATGAGTTAAAACCAACTCCAAGGTACTTAAAACATGCATTTTAAGATACTGCTCACACGCATGTACTTTGTGCTCAAGAACGTTAGAGAAACCCAAGTACGTTGGGAAACACTGCCACTAGCCTTCTTGAACTTTCAGGAAATTTTCGTTGTGCATTCCTAAAGGTAGATACTGCATGGCTTTCTAGGATTCTTGGAGCCAGTCTTTGTGATTTCTACCAAATGAGTGGCTAGAATGATACAAATATGAGGTATGTGTCGCCCACAAGAGGCAGCTTGCTAATAATGTAAATTAGGCCATTTGGCTACACACGTGGTTTTACCCAAGAGTGGATCCTCTGGTAGTCACAAAGATTGGACTTCTGCCTCAATGCTCACCCACACTCCTTTCATACATGACTTTCCCCAAGTCTTTCCTGATGTGAGGGCCTGTAACTTTCAAATAAAGTTTGCCCACACTACATGCACACAGATGGCTTTTCCCCAGTGTGTGTTTTCTGGTGTTTACGGAGACCTGATTTCCACTTGAAGGTACACCCACACTCCTTGCACATATATGGGTTTTCCCCAGAGTGTCTCCTCTGGTGTTCAAGGAGCGATGACTTCCATTTGTAAGCTTGCCCACACTCCTTGCACACATAGGGTTTTTCCGCTGTGTGTGGGGTCTGGTGGGTGATAAGATGTGACTCCAAAAGAAAGGGTTGTCCACATTCCTCCCACACATGTGGCGTTTCCCCAGTGTGTCTTTTCTGGTGGTGAATGAGATTTGACTTCCAAAAAAAGGCTCGCCCACACACCTGGCACACATGTGTTTTCTCCCCAGAATGTCTTTTCTGATGCATGTTAAGATCTGACTTAAAAAGAAAGGCTCGCCCACACTCCTGACACACGTGTGTTCTTTCCCCAGTGTGTCTCTTCTGGTGCGTGGTAAGCTGCGACTTCAAAACAAAGGCTCGCCCACACTCCTGACACACGTGCGGCTTTTGCCCAGTGTGTGTTTTCTGATGGTGAATGAGATTTGACTGCCAAAAAAAGGCTCGCCCACACTCCTTGCAGACATGGGATTTTTCCCCAGAGTGTCTTTTCTGGTGCATGATAAGCTCTGACTTAAAAAGAAAGGCTCGCCCACACTCACTGCACACATGTGGCTTTTCCCCATTGTGCTTTTTCTGGTGGTGAATGAATTGTGACTTCCATTTATAAGCTCGTCCACACTGATTGCACACGTGGGGTTTTTCCCCGGTGTGTGTTTTCTGGTGTTTAATGAGTTCTGAGTTCCATTTATAGGCTCGCCCGCACTCGTTGCACACATGTGGCTTCTCCCCAGAGTGTGTCCTCTGGTGGAGGAGGAGATCCGACTCCTTGCTATAGGGTCGCCCACATTCGTGGCACACATATGGCTTGTCGCTAGAGTGTATTTTTTGGTGTCTGGTGAGATCTGCATTCTCTTTAAAAGCTCGTCCACACTCCTGACATACATGTGGCTTTTCCCCAGTGTGTGTTTTCTGGTGGTGAAGTAGTTTTGACTTCCATTTATAGGCTCGTCCACACACCGTGCACACATGGGGCTTTTCCTCGGCGTGTACCCTTTGGTGTTGGGTGAGATATACCTTGTAAATAAATGTTCGCCCACACTCCTGGCACACATGGGGCTTCTCGTGAAGCATGGATGTTTGCATTGTGTTGATTTTGTCGTTGTAGTCACAGTCTGGTCCGTGCTCTCTATGGTTGACTGCTCCAAACCTGGAGGTTTCCAATTCCTTCAAGACTCTCTCTGTTTGCAAAGGTGAAACCCTTGGGCATGAGTTGGGCTCCACACCTAGCCCGGTGTGGCCCTCTCTAGGACTGGCTGACTCTTCCTCAGTTGGGCAGGAGGTCTCTCTGCTTGCTGGACTCACATACAAGCCTTCAGGGGTGACATAGCTCTCCTGACTTTCCGGGTTTTCACTCCAGCAGCTCTGACCAGAATCCTGCTGCTCTGGTCGCTTCTGAGGCCCTAAACTGAAACCCTTGGGATGGAAGTGATGTTCGCCACACAAGCCTTGGGCCACCTGAAGCAGATGTTGGCTGAGGACTTGCTGACAAGGGATATGTAAAAGGCAGGCGGAATAGGAGCACATTTCTTGATTTGTTTCTGCTGCGGAGAGAAAGTTTTTCATTAGAACAGCCATGAGTTGGCCTTGCCTGGACTGTCAGCCTTCCCTCATGACACACAGCCTCTGACTGCAGGAGTCCCTGGGTAAGACAAATAGATAATGGGAAACATAACTAGCTGTAAGGCTACTGGTTTTGAAGACAGGCCTGGGCATCTGATATCAATAGGCCACTGCTTAGACAACTTTATGGAGAGATCTATGTGGTCAACATGGGCCAGACTTCACTTGACAGCCCACAACAATGATCATATGCCACACTGCAATTATCTAATAGAAAGACAACTTGTTTCTCAACAATACTTTTATTCTCCAATCTGCTTAACTCTACTTTCTATTGAAATCCCTAAGCGCAGTCAGTGTGTGTTGGGTTCTCAAGGTACTTCCTCTGTTTTCTCTATGAGGGCCAAAGAATGTCAACATCTGCTTTAGGGAAAGGTAGGGAGAGCTTTAGCAGAAGACTGCCTGATGCTTCACTGGAGAATACGTCTCCACCCAGACAATGCTCCTGCTGAGCTTAGTAAATAAAACTTCCTTTGATGGAGTATCAGTGGTACAGGACTGTGTAGGGTTTATTTCTGTTCTACAGAGGGTTTCTGAGAGTCGGAAATGACCCCAGTTGACAACTACAATATCCAAGGTAAATTATTAGGCGAGACTGAAGCTCCCTTACTTTGAGACACACTGCAGAATGGTATGTGCATCGAACATTTACTAATAGGCCTGGAAGACTTTGCAGCACATCCTAACAAAACAGCTACAGCTTGAACATTATTAACTTGCATGGTGATCTGATAAGCTTTTTTTTAGAAATCCTTTGATCATAAACTTAAAAGAAACAAACTAGATCGTGCCCCACAGAAGCCCTATAAGACCTTGTAGAATGGCCCATAGAGATTCTGTGGCTGTAAATCTTTAGGGAAGAACATTCCCAGAATGCCTTCCCATACAGCAGCTTGGGGTTTCAAACATCAACCTTTCGGAGCTATAAGGGCACACGGATGATCAATAAGTATCTACGGAACTAAAGGAGGGAATGAAGAGAGGCACATCCTTACCCAATGAGAGCAGATTCCCATAAGTCTCCAGCATCACCACCTTGTACAGATGCTTCTGCTCAGAGCTCAGTCCCGCCCACTCTGCCTCTGTGAAGACAATGGTGACGTCCTCCAACGTCACAGGTTCCTAACATGAATCAGTGAACACGGGATCCACATCAGCTTTCTCAGTACAATGAGTTTAAGACATGGGTCTTGAGAGTCAGGATCTAAAGGCCATCTAAGCCTTTCAGAGAACACAGTTCTCCACAGCGATTCTGTTGAACATGGCTGGATCCACAGCCTTGGGGCAACATCTATGGGGAGAATCCATGATGCGCAAACCTCATCCTGGGTCTGGAATGTGTGTGAGGTCACAGGGAACTGATTTTCCAATGGCTCTTACAACATTAAAAAATTAAAACACCCAATTTGTAGACGGCTATGAAGGACAGTGGGAGCCCAAAACCCACCTGCAGCGTACCTAGCCTGATTAAGCTTCTGGCATAACCTCATGAGATTCTTCTAGGTGGGAGCTTTTTTTTTGGTTATTCCGTGAAAAAAAAAAAAATTCTTCCCTGGGGGGGGAGGGGGGATTTCTTCCTGGTCTTTTCTTTCTCACCCACTATTTATGTATTTTTTCTTGAGACTATTATTATTTTATCCTTACCACTCATTTTTTTCTGGTTTGGGCTGGGTTTCTCAATAGGCTAAGCACAGAAGGAATAGAGGCATAAAGGTAAGAACTGATGTAAAGGTTTATAGGGGAGGTAGAGGTGGGGAATTTCCAAGACTGTAAATCCTTATTAGACGTTTTAGAAATCCTCGTATTTCTCCTACACATTCACTGGTGAATTCGAACTGCTGCACCGGTGCTTAACAACTCAAAGTACAACCTTGGACAAGGCTTTTTTTCCTAACAACATTAGGCAGGGTAAGGGGTTTCAGAGAGCAAACAATTTAAGTGGGGGGAGGGCGGAGTCTCTAGAACTGATTATGATTATACAACTCATTTTACAACTAGGGGTGGGGGGGAGAATATGCTCTAAAATCAATTATGGTGACGATTGTACAACTATTGTTGTTATGACTGAACTATTGCATTGTGTGATAAGCGGATTAAATGCCAATAAAAGTGCTTAAAAAAAAAACAACAACAACCAATAAACAATTGCCATCGAATCAACTGGGACTCACAGCAACCCAATAGGGCAGCGTATAACAGCCCCGGTGGGTTTCCGAGACTGTAAATCCTTATTGGACTAGGAAGCTTCATTTTTCTCCCACATAGCCATTGGTGAATTTGAACTGCTGACCTTGTGCTTGAAATCCCCAAATAATAATCCTGGGCCAGCACCCAGGCTTTTCTTCCTAGTAACATTAGGCAGTATAGTAAAATAAGTGCATTTCAGGGTTCATAATGGAGGGATTCCAGCATGGGGGCATATAGGTTGGGCTCCAACGAAGGGAAGGCATCCTGGAAGTGGGACCTGTGCCAGGTATTAGGAAATGGTGAGGATTTCAAGGAGAAGATGGAAGGAAACTTCCACTATAAAGGTGGGAAGGAACAGAGGGGCATGTTTAGACTTTAGCTAAAGAGTTCAGGAGATTCCATGGGATCTGGATATTCAGTATCTTTCTGAATTTTAATCTTTCCAAATAAAATCCTCAATACTTCAACCCATGCAGAGCAGCAGCCCATAAAATATAAACCACATTACAGAGGGCAAAAACAAACAAACAAACAAACACAAATGCAGGACATTCACAGACAGTTGTAGCACTGTGGGTGGGCTGCGTGTGGGATGTGTTTATCTGTGTGGGGCAGGGGTTACTGCTGGATGACGAGTTATTGCTGGAGCACAGCCTGAGATCGGCTCCGTTTCCTTTTGGTATCACTCCCTCCGAAAGGGCTCGCCCCATGGCTGCACTCATTTATCCACGGTTACCATTGTACACAGACAACTCAGTCTGTGGAAATCACAACAAGCTACCGAACCACGGCTGTGTGGTCCGTCTGGACTCATAGTGTTGCCACGATGCAGAGGGCATTCAGAGGCCATCGAGCTTTCGGAAGCACTCTCCACCTTCTGCCTGCACAGCTCACGGTGAGTTCGAACGGCTGTTTCAAAGGCATCAGGATTGGCAATGTCAAAGGTCACTGAGATAAGTTTTTTAAAACGCTAGACAAGACAGGCGGACTAAATGGTTGCAACATTAGGATCACACTCAACACTCGAGAGGATGGGCTAAGGGCTGGGCAGTATTTCCATCTGCTGTCTATGGGGACACAATGGGTTGGAGAGGACTCCAGGGCACGAACCTCAACAAATGAGGTCGTTCTAAAACTCACCATGCTTCCCCTTCTCCTCTGGGAGCCAGTCAGTAGATGAAGAAGTCAAACCTATTAAAAAAGAAACAGACTGTAAGGGCGGACACCACCCACGATGCTCCTTGTCTAGCTTGGGCTACAAGGAAGCAATCAATTGACTCAGTGGTGGCCTCCTGTACACGAATCCTCAACTTGAAGTTCTACAGACCCACAGCAAACTCTCAACTTTGCCCTTCCATCTCTGAGTCCTTGCTTCATGGTTCTCACACTGTCTCTTGTCTTTAAAGGTAAAATCTTCTCAAAGGTCTGCTCTTCTTGGACAGAAAGGGCAAGGCAATGTGACGGTCTAAATGAAGTCAAATGACTACTGCAAAGGGCTTGACGGGAACACTTGGAATTGATTTCCTTTCCAGATGGAACTCTGTTACCTGCGGTGACTTCTTAAAACCCTAGTTATAAAAGCCCCTTGTTTTCCAAGCATCCAAGACCTAGGAGGAGAAAAGACGGCTACAGTTGTGGATCCTTTGTGTGGGCACTATACTCAGGCCTCTTCTCGTCCTCTCTCACCCTCCTCAGCTGTCAGTCACAGAGCTGAGGTCAGGCTGAGGTGGCTCTGGGATTTCCACCTTGATTCAAATCTGTTCCCTGGAACGCTCCTTTTTACCTGCCAAACTTGATTGTGCCGGTAGGTTTCTACCTCTCAGGTTCCATTTCCAGGTCCCAAATCAGCTTCTGCTACCTGAGCCAGAGAACACAGAGTACAGCTCAATGCCTTTGGAGAAAAAGACTCGGAAACGCCCAACAGACCAATCAGGTCATCAAGAAATAAGCCTGTCGTCTCACTAGGCTGAAAGTTCCACTTGTGTTCAACTCCCCAAGTCCTAGTACTTGGAGACATTTGGGGGTTTGAAATGAGCCAATCCTAGTCACTGGGACTTCTACAGATAACTTACTCGTGTGTATTTGTGTATGTCACCTGATCCTGTCACAGTCCTCCACTCATTTGGTGTAAGAGGCAGTTTTAGAAGGCCATGCCACCCTCAGAATGATCTCAGATATACTACCCAGAAATCATTTCAGTCCACCTGGTTGCTGGTGTGAACTCCCGGGGAGTCAATTCTAATTTAAGATCTGAGCAAGAAGTTCTCAAGTGCCTGATGTCTCAGTACCTGAAGGCCAGGCTTACCTTCCAAGCCGCCTCTGTGTGTGGATTTGAACTACCTTACTTTTCAACAAGAGGTAGCTGAGTCTAATTGTGTGTGCACTACCTGGGTAGGTCACATTTCTGCCTAAGACACCCAGTCACTGGACTCAAGTCAATGGAAATTCACAGCAACCCCATCAGACTGAGCACATGTGGTCTTTGGAGCTTCTGTCACTATAAACCAGATTCAGAGCTCAAGGCCTCATCTCTTGACTACAGAACAGAGGATTGGTATAAACTGTGAACCTTGTGGTAAGGAAAGCAATGCTTATTGAATGTGACATCAGGGCATCGTGGAAAATCACTGTTCAAAGGGGTGAAAAGGGCATCTTTTGAGAGTTGGCCCACCACAAAAATCACTAAAATTTCTAGGATACTGTCCCATACAGACTGCGAGGACATACATTTTACAGAAGCTGACTGGCACACCTTTCCCCTGAGGAGCCACTTGTGGGGCAAAGGCCAACATATTGGTTACTAAATACTTTACATACTCACCCCGAAAGACTCCTCCAGCAAATCCACATCCGATCAAATCCCTCCAGTCCCCCAGGGATCTCAAATCAGCAACATACTCACTTCCAACCCAACCCATCCAACAGACCAAAGCACAGAAGATCCCCAGACATCAAGCCTGCCCATCTTGTTCCTGCGCCACGACCACCTGGGGTGGCTCCTGAACTTACTCACTGCCTGAGTCTATTCACTCACTCACAGCAATGCTGCTGGAAACACTACAAAGGGCCTACAGGGTTTCCAATGCCATATATTATCATGGCAGCCCTCCCCGTTTCTGTCCTTTGGAGTGACAGGGCTTTTGAAACCACTGACTAGCTGAGACTAGCCGAGAATGTAACCAAGGAGCCACAAGGTCTCCTTTTGGGTATATTCAGCTACTAAACAAATCAAACATACCTTGATATGCAAGACCTGGATTCCCTTCAGGACCCAGAAATGCAACAAATCATTCCCCACCCAGAACTCTGGGATTTTAGATATTCGTGTATAAGCTGAGTTTTTCAGCACACCTTTAATGCAGTTTCTGTGGTAGAATTAGGTCCCTCGGCTGATATCCGGGTTGGTTGGCTTATACTCAAGTATATACGGCACTTATCCACACCCCCACCAACAGAACTACATCAGTAGTGCTCCTGGCTAAACATATCCATGCTACATATTGTATACTAAGGAAGGGCTGGTGGTTAAGATTAATGCCACTCAGGAAGCACACAGTATATGGGAAATCAGTATCTCCAGGGGAGATAACAGACACTCACAGGATCAGGACAACGTGACATTCTATAGTCTAAGCCTCCGTTGTTGTTTTTCCACATAAAAAACTTCCCTATCTTTGAAGACCAGATATGATTAATTTAAGATAGGTGCACAGGGCTATTCATGACTACTGCAGCATCTAACAAACACTAAGCTTTCTACTGCGATAAAGAATTGCAGTCTTGGAAAAACACAGAGTAGTAGCTCCAACATATCCCGCAGTTTCAGTATGAGCTGATATCCATTCCAAGAAGAGGGAATATATCTAAAATGACCTTTCCAGCACTAACCAGGGATTCGAACTGAGAATAAAGGAACTGTGCCTCTGTCAACTACACCAGACACTAGTGACAGATTTCATTTTGATTTTCAAACTCCAACTTGGCTGCACCATGAACATGACCTACTGAAAAACTGTGCCGGGAGGGTGGGGAGGGAAGAGTTGCAGGCATATAAGGTCCAAGATGCTCATCACTGTTTCAGCCAGAGACCTGTTGGAGTCCCCAAATTCTCAGTTTACTTCTCCAAGCCCTTTACAGAGGAAAACAGCAGAGTCTACAAGGTGCAAAAATTCAATGACAACAAGGATCCTTTATCGTCTAAACTATGTGCCAGGCTCCAGGTAATGTTCCACACGTTGGTGTTAATACACGGTCTCCATTAGGAGACAAAGAAGGCACGGTTCACAGCGAACAGGAGGGCAGAGATCGCTCCCTAATGTCTCAGGATTCATTGCGATGAATCGCCCTTCTCTCCCTAGATGGATTTGTCTGCTGAAACTTACCAAGTTGCAAAGGAATTCTACCGCAAAGGAAGAGCTGTGACATTTCCATATATTTTTTAGGAAGCTACAGTCCAATCCTGCTCATCTCCACCATTGGATGAACAGCTAGCTGGTTAACTCTCAATCTCTCCATCAAAACCATCGGGCTGCACACTGTACCCAAGAAACGCATACCGACTAAGGGTGGGGTGGAAAGGGGGAGCCGATTACCAGGATCTACATATAACCTCCTCCCTGGGGGACGGACAACAGAAAAGTGGGTGAAGGGGGATGTCGGACAGAGTAAGATATGACAAAATAATAATTTATAAATTATTAAGGGCTCATGAGGGAGGGGGAGCGGGGAGGGAGGGGAAAAATGAGGGCCTGATGATGGGGGGGGGGCTTAAGTGGAGAGGAAATGTTTTGAGAATGATGAGGGCAATGAATGTACAAATATGCTTTACACAATTAATATATGTATGCATTGTGATAAGAGTTGTATGAGCTCCTAATAAAATGATTTAAAAAAAAGAAGAAACACTGGGCGAACAGCCTTTCCAAGGCCTTAGACGAATAAGCTTCCAGAGTCTCTATGGAGCGTCTCCGTTGGAGACCGCTGCATCCCGCCTCACCTGCAGGCAGGCGCTGCACGTTTAATAAATGCCTTTTAGCCATTTCGGTCGTCTTTTTGCCCAGCCCCCACCCCACCTAAAACTCGCTCACTCACCCACGTCCCGTCCGGTAGCGATAAGCCGGGGCTGTGTCCACCCAATGACCAAGCTCCCCCCCTCCCGCCCCGAGGCCCTTCTCCCCCAAATCGCGACCCCAACCCCCCAAACCTTTCAGGGTGCTTCCGCCTGCCGGATCTTCCTGCGCTCGAAATTACCCGCCCGGTGTGGCGCACGTCCGCGCTCACAACATGGATTTGTGCCGCAGCGAGACGTTCACTGAGCGGACCACGGCCGTGACCGAGGAGCGCGTCCCTCGGGGGCGTCCGCGGCCGCGAGCCCACGCCGAGAAGGCCGTTCCCAGGAGGGCTGCCGACTCGGGTCCTTCCACGAGAAAGGCCCGTCCCGGGCGCTTCCGGTTGCCGGGCCTGAAGGACAAAGCCGGCCGGCTACCGGAAGTGGCATTGCCGGTCGGCGTGGCGTGGATTTCTCGGGGCTTCAGCGAAGAGGAAAAACCCGGAAAGTGCTGTGTTCGCCGCTAGCGCTGAGCGAGCCCGCGCGCCCCACTCCTCCCCTCAGGCCGGGGCGCCCGCCGACGTGCACAGCCCTCCGCTCAAAATTCCGGTTGGCGCCGGATGAATGGCCCCGCCCCTACGTAGATGGCCCCGCCCCTACGTAGATGGCCCCGCCCCTACGTAGACGGCCAAGCCTCTACGTAAACGATCCCGCCTCTACGTAGATGGACCCGCCCCTACGTAGACGGCCCCGCCTCTACGTAAACGACCCCGCCCCTACGTAGATGGCCCCGCCTCCTGCTGCTTTAACCCTTTTCAATCCGGGGACCAGAACATGCGTCGCGGTGCTAGCTGCTGACTCGGCGTCCAGAAGGTTACGAGGTGAGTTCCTCTGGGTCTCCGGCGAACTAAATCCTCTTCCAATCCCAGATTGCCCCCTGGACATGCCCTCGCTGGAAAACTGCGGTCACAACACGTGTACGTGGGCAACGAGGGCAGACTCTGGAAGGGACGGATGAATCCAGTACCTGGAACAGGGATGCAAACCACCATGGTGAGGATGGCGCAGCAGGGAGCAGTGTCCCAACGGACTCAAAGTCATCAAACACCCCCTCACAGACACCCACTCTCTGGGAGGACGTGTCAGCTTCTCCCGGTGCAGGAAGATGAGGACCCTCGGTTTCCTAACCCTGTGCTGCAGGAAGTCTAGGGTTTCTTGGTTGAATTAGCCTGTGGACCTGAGCTGCAGAGGCATTGTTTTATGACAGGCAGGCATGTCTTCTAGAGCTGCTGGCCAATTCTAGGAATTCACCCTCCTGAAGGAAGGGCCCTATTGTCCATGGCTATAGACACTCTTACTGGCTGTCCAGATGTATGTGTTTGCAACCAGTGAGTTAAAAAAAACAAAAGAAAACAAAAGATGCCATCATGTCTTATCCGACTGTGTAATATAGACTCTAGGACAGACCACAGCTCCCCCTTTAGGTTTCTAAAAATGTCAATCTTGACAGAAACAGCCTCATGTTTCTCCAAGAGGCTGCAGGTGGGTCCCAACTTCTGACCCTGGGACCGGCCTCCCTACACTATCCCACTGCAGCACCGGGGCTGCTTACAGAGCCCAAGATCCCAGACTGATGCAGTGCATTATTAGGTCATAGGGTCCTTCTATTGAATGCCATCCTCCTGATTGGTTGGCCAGGTTTCCAACCCACTAGGCTCATACTGAGTCATCTCACCCACAGGAAGGTTGGATATCAGGCCTGCCAAGAAGAGTAGGGAGTGGAGCATGTCATTGGCCACTCAGGATCGACCCATGATCAAGGTGTTGAGAAGCTTCCTGACTTAGAGGACAAGGACCTAGAACACTGCTGAGACAGCAACAGTGGAGGGATGACAACAAGTGGTGGCAGAGAAACAGCAGCATTTGAAAGGGCAGAGGTTCTGGTGAGCCACTGACTGGGAACACTGAATGTCTTTGGGCATGTTACTTGCTGGAGGTGTGAGGGCTTCTGGAGACTGGTTAGCCCATGGATGGGGCTGGAGTTGAGCACCTTTGGGCTTACGTGAAGTGAAGTGGAGAGCCTCTAGGGACTTAGGACCACAGCTAAAAGATATTGGTAACATTTAGTCGTGAAGGTCACTTGTCAAATTGCCCTGAGAGGCATCTTGGGCACTGCTGAGTATCGGTTTTCATGATTGAATAGTTATTTCTGATCAATAGTAGCCTAGTACTTCCTGATGAATCCCAGTGTTGTGAATACTGTAATATCTGGCTTCTCTGTAGCCATCCCAAGGACAGTCCCAAATAGGGAAAATATTAACAGACTGCCATGGTAGGGATGGTTAAGTGTCCACCATGTTGGTAAAAATATTGCATGCAGAAGGCATGTGTGACTCATCTCATTGAAGTCATATGGGCTGTTGATGTGGATTCCGACTCTACCCCCATAGCTTGTTGCTGTCAACTGCAAGCAGCTCAAGTAAAATTGTTTGCTTCCTTCCCCACCACACCCACTACCTGCACCAAGAAAAAGGCCCCACCTTTCTGCTCTTCAATCAAGGCAGTCCCCCCGAGGGTTCATTTGGGATATGCCAGCATCCCTCCAACTGGACACTTACCAGGAAGGCTGCAGCACATTATTCCAGAAAGACCCCTGCCGTGAACTCACTTCTGATCATCGATATTCTATCCATCGCCCAGTGCCTCCCATTGCTTTGACCTACTGTAAATGGGAGAGCAATCCCTGAGGGTCCATGCGTGTCAGCCACTCTTCAGATACGTGCAGAGATCAACACAGAGGTTGCTGTGTGCCATGAAGCAGACGGTTTTGGATAACCCTACATCCATAGTTATAAAACTTGTTGAGGGAGTCTGTGGGCTCTGATCGCAACAAGACAAACTTCCTTCCAACAGAGAATGTTAGCACCTCCCTCGCCGGGACACTGCCCACGACAGTCTGGTAAGAGTGGCTGAAGAATGCACCATCTCAAGTGGAATCAGTTCCCACTGTGAGCTCACGTTACACCTGCCACCCTCAACATCCCACAGGTCAAGCCTCTGACACTGACAGCACAGACCTCCTGGGGTGTCAAATTTGCTTAGTCTCCATTACCGCTGGTCACCAGTCAGGACTCCTGACAGAGGCTTTGGTGTGCTAGGAAGGTGGTGTCTGGAGTGGAGGTTTACTCACAGCCAGAAACCCGCCAGAGTAGTAAGGAAAACGTGTACTGGATTCAGGAGACCATGACATCCGTTGTTTCTCTCCTCCAAGGACTTAATTGTCATATTGGTTGGTGCAAACTGCTAAGGAAGGTGAGAATTAAATGTCTTTCGATTTGAGATGTGGTGAGCATCTTCTTTTTACTTCTACGTCTAGGTCTTTGCAAATTTCATTGTAATATTTTCCTTGGTCTTTTCCAGTTTACCATTAAAAAATTTACTCAACTCTTGGACTTCATCATTTCTCCATTCATCTTAACTTTCTACAGTTTAGAGCAGGTTGGAGTACCTCCTGACATCCCCCTTGACCTGTTCTTATTTTCCCCTTTCTGTAATGATGTTTTTGTTTTATTCATGTATGATGTCATTAAACAGCTCATCAGGTCTTCTGTCATTAGTGTTCAATGCATCCAGTCTGCTCTTAACATATTCTCATAATTGAGGTGGGATACATTCAATTCACATTTTGGCTTGTTTAAATATTCTTCAGCGTCAACTTGAATTTAAATAAGACCAATTGGTGATCTGTTCCACAGTGTACCCCTGGCTTGTCGGAAGCTGATGACATGGAGCTCCATCCTCTCAAAACATAGTCCATTTGATTTCAGGGTACTCCATCGGGAGAAGTTCATGTGTATAGTTACTTCTTGTTGACAGAAGCTGTTTGTGATGTCATTGGTCTCTAAAAATTCTACCACGTCATCTCCACCTTCATTTTTATCACCATGTCATATTTTTCTATCAACCTGTGGTAGTTCCATAATTTCATGTCAACTTAACGATATACAAATGTAGGGGTTGGATTCAACAGATTAATCACATCACAGCCTGATGGTGGCTCTTTGTGGGAGTAGTTTACTCTTGAGGTCACGGGGTAACTCCTCTCTGCCTGAATCTTTCCTGACCTCAAAAGCTGAAGGCATCCTGGGATGTTTCCACCAACCTTGAAGCTAGGTAACTTTGTACCAACCAGCTTAGGATCTTCCTCCATCATTGCAATTGACTGTGTGAATCTGTGGAAATCACAGATTAGTATCAGAATGATGGACTTGAGTTGGCCTTGGCTGAGTTGTTTTCTTGATAGAGAATCACTTCAGGATGCAAAGCTCTACTGCAACAGGAGTGTCACTGGATTTGTTTCTTGTGTTAGTCTGAGTGCAGAAAGATTACAGGCCAGTAGGTGGAAAGTCTTGTGGATCTAGTGGCGGTGGAGGCATCTTAGCGCGGGTGTAGGTCTCCACATGGCTCCTCTAGCTCCAAAGCTGGCTGCCAACATCATAGCTCCCTGTGGCTTGTCAACAGGAATGTCTCACAGGGAGTGAGTGTGTGTCCGGCCTCCAGCAAGCTATTTATCTCTTATCACCTCTAACTGAGGCCATCAAGCTGCAACCTGATTGACAAGTTAAACTTCATCCCTTCACTCAATAGTCTCAAGTTGACAACAGTTTATGAAACTACCACATTTCTCTAGACAACCATGCTAAACCATTTCCTCTTTCTTTGCAACCATTGCAATCTAATTGCCAATAATTATCCATGTATCCTGATTTCACATTTCATCAATTTCAGACTGAAGACATCAAATTATTTAGTGTCTTCACCAAGAGTTTTAGTGGTTGGTGCATCATTTTGAGTAGTTGTAAGGTAGGATGTCTTTGGCTATGGATCTATCTTTTGACAGAGAGCATTGTACTTTTAAGTTACATCTTCCGGTGTCTTTTTTTTTGACTCTGAATGTGACACCATTATTCTTGAGTGTACCCTCCCTGTCATAGGAAATCTTTCACTGGCTGATTCCAAATGACCAGTACGATTCAGTTTCACCACACTATCTTCAAAGCTATCGATCTTTATGCTTGCTTTCCATTTCATGGTTGATGGCTTTTAACGTTCTCAGATTTAGACTTTGTACATGCTGGTTATCAATTATTAACACTTGCAGCTGTTTTCTATCATTTTGAGTTATGCTCCATACAAATGCAAGTCCAGAAGGCTTTCCCCCGTGCGTCTTTGGGCTCACTGTACTTGGGGTGGCACCTCTTGCCCACGGATCTTTTAAGACCCTTCAAACCTGAGGGGCTTATCATCTGGCACTATCTCTGACAATCTTCTGCTGTTCATGCAGTATGCTGTCTCTGACAATGGCCTGCTGCTACTCATAAAGTTTTCTGTGCCTAATTAATCAAAAGTGGACAGGGTCTTCCTTCTCCATCATATGCTTTGTTAGTCCAGAAGCTCTGCTGGAATTTGTTCACTTGGGGTGACCTGTTGGGGTTTGATATATAGTGGCCTAAGTTCCAGCCTCCCGGAAGCACACAAGCCACCAAGGTACACCACCTTCAGATGAGGGGTGGGTGGTCAGAGTAGGTCTCCTTGATCTCGGCACAGCCTTGATAAAATGGAGGGAACTTCTCTTCAGGGTATGACCTAGTGTAAACTGACAGTGCATGGAAACTGCTGATTGGGATCCTGCCTCTGATTATATCCCTACTTGATCCCCGAAGCCATCAGGAAACTACTGACTTTGCATTCATTCGGCTGATCTCACATTCATTCACCTCCGCATCCACCAGCCTGTGGTCTCACTGCTTCACCCTTTTGCTTCCTCTCCATTAGTCCCATTGCTACAGGAGTCAGGGAAGGCCTTCAGCTTCCTCCTGACCCGCGGATGATCCCACTTCTTCAACTGGGTGCGCCGTTTTTAATCAGAATCTCTTTCTATATATATCCAAATCTCACTGCCTCTGTGCTCTGTTGGGTCCAGCGTAACAGAGCACACTCAAAGAGAAGAAGCCATCAACACCCAAAATGTCCCTGGAGAGGCTCTGGTAAGACCTGTGACACTGTGGCTAGAGTTGCAGGCCAAGTCTGCTGGGACTTCCTGTTGTTGATCACACAGAGGGTACGGAACGTTGGGGTCTGTTTTGGGGGTGAATAATGGAATGCCAAATAGTGAGGCAGGGCGGTCACGACTTTTGTTGGGGGGAAAAGGTTAGCAAGGGAACCGCGGCCAGTAAAGGGCGTTGGAGGGAGGCACAAAGGAAGCAGGATGTTATTAGCCATCAGGGCTGACATGCACCTGGGGCAGGAGAGTGGCAGGGTTTAGAGAGGGAGGTTGGCCCAGGCATAAATCAAGATTCTCAAAAAGAAGGAGGGAGCAGAGAGAGGGAGCGATGCTACAAAAGATCCTGAAGTCTATGTGAAGGAAGTGTTTGTGGGTCACGGGGAGGAGACGAACCAGTCAGGGTGCAGTGTAGCGAGGATGAAACATACAACTTTCCTCTAGTTCCTAAATGCTTCCTCCCTGACCCCCACCATCATGATCCCAATTCTACCTTACAAATCTGAATAATATAAAAGAAGCTTGGTCATGAAAGAGGTAGCTGCAGTCTGGAGAGAAGTTCCTTTTGGACATTCCACTACAGTCTGGGCTAGCCTGATACAAAGACTTCAATAACGCTAATTGGACTTGTGGTGGTCTTTTATCATCTGAACCTGCCACACCTTCAAATACTAAACTTGTTTATACCCCTTCTCTGTTCCACTTAACAGTGGTATTCCTTAGCTCCGACTCCAGGCACAAACCCAATATATAGGGAGATGCTGATGCTAGCATTTTAAAATGATCTTCAGGAAATTTTCTGTGCATTCGTTACAGTATTTTCTGGGTACTGAATGACTTCATAGGACTCTTTGAAGTCAGTCTTTGTGATTTGTAACAAATGACTGGTTAGACTACACAACTGTGACCAATTTGTGGCCCACTAACAGCTGGCTAAGAATGTAAATGAGGTCACTTGGGATCACGCATGCCATTTGTCTCTTGTATAAGGTGACTAGACGTCCCACTTTTGGTGGGACAGCCCTGATTTTTAACAATTTTTCCCGCGTCCTGTGGCATTTAAAAAAAGTCCCAATTTTTGGGAAGAATGCACGACAAGCTAGGATATATGGTTTTCGGCTGGCATGTGGCTATTTCGCCAGGATAGGAGTTTTATCAATGGTGTCCCGCTTTGCCAATGTTAAAGTCTGGTCACCTTACCCTTGCAGATCCTCTGGTTGATGAACTGTAACTTCCCAACAAAGGTCCCATCACACTTCTTGCACACGTGGAGTTTCAGTGTCTCCTATGGTGGCCACACAAGTTTGACCTTTGCCTAAATACTCGCCCGTACTGGCCACCAACAGTTGAATGGGTCCTTAGGAATGCCGTTGCGAGCATGGAAAATACAAGTAGACAGTGGGGCACAGGAGCTTCTTGTTCCCAAGAAGGAGAATGTATTTTCCAATGGGGATGTATCATCCTGGGCCTTACAGAGCTTTTAAAAGGCATACATGTACTATGTGAACACCTAACACATTCGATGGGTAATATCATATGGGGGGTAACA